ACAGGTAGCAACCGGACTTCCATGGCGGGTACTGCTTGGGGAATGCGTTATCTCCGAAAGAGCCAGGACAATAGACGAGATAATTGTACACTCCCAGCATCTGAGGGCCCGCCTCATCCGGGGGAAGAGCGTAAATCTGGAATTTGTAGAAGCCTGGCAGAGGCGGTCTGATGAGGAACAAGTAGTTGGGCCCAAGAGCGCGGATTAATACATATTCCGTGCACTCCTTTTTCCTTTCGTAGGAGATCAGTTTGATGGTGACTCTCGTTCCTGGTTGAGTGCCCATAATGATTTCTACTTCTGGCTGGTCTTCTTGCATGTACACCACCGGATCGCTATGGGAAACGGTTGAAAGGCCATAAACATCAAATTTGGCTTGAGGTCCGAGGAAGCCCTCGGTGATTTTCGGAAGCTGGACGTTTCCTGCCGCCATTTTAGGTTCACTTTACGTCCTGTAATGGAACATTTTATTGAGAGGGTTAGAAATATAGAATGATTGGAGTTCTCACTTCTGCTTGGACGTCTTTAGAATGGAAGTGGGAAAAGAAAACAAAAAAGGAAAGAATGTAATTTATAAAGCAGCTGTTGATTTTCAATTTCCTATTTCAACAGATAGCTATTGGAGCACTAAAAAGTCATAACACTTTGATATGGATCCTATAACTGGAAGAAGAAAACAGTGGCACATGGGCAAGACCACATTTTAAGTGAATGTCGAAATTTGGATGAAGAAAACACGCGAATGAAATTCCACTACACAAACACATACGTGAACAAACACACTTACAAACGCACACACACACACACACACACACACACACACACACACACACACACACACACACACACACACACACACACACTGTAACATAAGTAGACATGCGTGCACGTTGCATCCGATGATTACAGTTTATTTCATCTCAGCAACCGATTCAAATGTTATTGAAATCCACGCAAAAAACCTGTTGGTGCCCCCTCCCCCCAATCTCCCTCACCCTAACCCCATTTCCTTATCTTCATTCCTCGTCCTCTTAACAACTCATTCTTTGTAATGCTCAAAATATGACGAACTGTTCTTTGCTGCAATTGGTCTCATTGGCCACACCAGACCCCACAAAAGTCATCTTAACCTTAAATTTTTCTATCTCTCGTAACCTCTTCACTGCTGAGGCCTTTCCGCCTTGGTTTGTATGGACAAGATGAAATGTAGGCTACACACATTCAAGGGATATATAAACAAAAGCATACTATCTCCCCTTACTTTAAAATGCACAGCAAAAAAAAAATTGCTTTACATCTTCTATCACTTACTGTATAAACCAGTACAAATATGGCAGAGAACCAGTTTTGGAAAACACAAGAGAGTACATATGTCCACACAGCAGTGAATTGGTTAAGAAATATTCTCCTCCGAGGATGCAATGATCATCGTTAGACTCTGGTGGAAGAATTGTTATCACCCCCCCCCCCTCCCCCAAGACTTTCTGAACTTTTACGAAAAACATATGCACAATCCCTATCTCCTCGTATCATTCCACAGAGCGTCCATGAGTTTCCTCTTTCTATTTTTTCTCATAATCTTACTAAACATCTTCCCTTCATTTTTCCTATACCTGATTACACATCCCCCCCTGGCTCCTGGTCAAGAAAAAAAAAGAACAGAGACAACAGTGGCATTAACCACAATAATATCGACAATACTAACAATAACAACAACAATAACAACAACAACAACAACAACAACAACAACAACAACAACAACAACAACAACAACAACAACAGCAATATTGTCAATGACAGCAAAACAACAGTAACATCTCCACAATCACAACAGTAACAACA